GACAGACATGCACCACCACGCCCAGCTAACCTTTGTATTTATTTATTTATTTTGAGACAGTTTCCCCCTTGTCGCCCAGACTGGAGTGCAGTGGCTCAATTTTGGCTCACTGCAACCTCTACCTTCTGGGTTCAGGCAGTTCTCCTGCCTCAGCCTCCCGAGTAGCTGGGATTTCAGGCATGCGCCACCACACCCAGCTAATTTTTACATTTTCAGTAGAGATGATGTTTCACCATGTTGGCCAGACTGGTCTCAAACTCCTAACCTCAAGTGATCTGTCCGCCTCAGCTTCCCAGAGTGCTGGTATTACAGGCGTGAGTCACCTGGCCTGGCCTGCCTGCCTTGTTTCTGAGGAGACAGGATGTCTTTGCTGAAGGAGCGTTCTCCATGGAGAGGGCCAGATTCCATGCTCACTGATTTGGGTGGCACCAGCGTTCAGTAATTCCCATCACCACTGGTAGACGCCCTGGGAACTTTATCCTCCTTCTGAATAGAGACTGCAAACTGCCCCTCGGCTATATGACCTGTAATTAATTCTATCTCTGCGTTAAACCCACAATTCATTTGTTTTTGTTTGTTTTCTTTTCTTTTCTTTTTTGAGACGGAGTTTCGCTCTTGTTACCCAGGCTGGAGTGCAATGGTGCGATCTCGGCTCACCGCAACCTCCGTCTCCTGGGTTCAGACAATTCTCCTGCCTCAGCCTCCTGAGTAGCTGGGATTCCAGGCACGCGCCACCATGCCCAGCTAATTTTTTGTATTTTTTGTAAAGACGGGGTTTCACCATGTTGACTAGGATGGTCTTGATCTCTTGACCTCGTGATCCACCCGCCTCGGCCTCCCAAAGTGCTGGAATTACAGGCGTGAGCCACCGCGCCCGGCCTGTTTTTGTTTGTTTTGAAAAAGAAAATTGAGTTTCCTGAGAAATGAACTCACTTTGATCTTGACACACAAAATCAAAGTTCACCATTTCTGTAATGTCTTTCTGCTTAGAATGCACTGATGGACATCAAGTAGATGAAGAGTCACAGCTATCGCCAAAGGGCTGGGTCTTTGTGACTAATCATCATAATTACATGCTTGGTCAGGTACGGGTTGCTCCTGGCGATAGAGACAGAGGGTGTGGAAAGAGGATTGGCAATTTGATCAGGAGAAGTTTAAACAGAAGCAGACCTTTTTCACTTGGGGTCAGGGATTGGGGGAATGGAGTGAATTAGCTCTGGGAGAGTGAAAAGAAAGTCAACCAGGCCCATCAGCTGGTCAACTGCACCCCTCATGTGCAGAGACCTGGGGGGACGAGCTGTCATCCCACAACAGAGATGGGGTCCGTGGCACCACCCTCAGCCTGTCACCGGCTCAGCCTGGAACAACAGCATACATCCAAGGTGCAGAGGAAGGCTTCCTTCCGGGGCTTTTTCTGGCCATGGAGAAGCTCAAAGGCTTCCTGGAGAAGGTCACAGCTGTAATATTGACCTCGTTTGCAATTTTTCCAACCAGCAGGATAAAAATATCTTTTAAAAAAGAAAGCTTAGAAGAGGGCATTATCAGAAACCAGCCTTCTTAACAGCTCACACTTCTCTATTCTTGGACCGGCTTGTTTTCAGACATTGTTATGTCCAAGTCTCGGTAGAAAAAGCCAGCCAGGGCTCTGCAGAATCAGAAAGATGGGAAGAGAGTCTGGGGCTCCACAGGCAGGAGCTTGAAGGCAGAAAGGGCCCCAGGCACTTGGCATCTGCTCCTGGCAGACCCGATTAGTCACCAGGAGGAGTTTTCCTCTACCTGACAGAGGCAGAGGAGTGGGTTAAGGAAAGGAGACGTGCGTCTCCTGTCTTTTGGTAGCTTGAGTGGCTGTAATTTTCTGTTTGCACCCCAGATTCTATTATGAGGGGTGGGGCTCAGTAGGAGAACCCCAGGGAGCACAGCTGGACAGAGAGAGACAGTCTCTGTGGAGAGGCAGCCCGGTCATGAGTTGCCTGAGGGATACTCTGCGTTTTCTCGCACTGGGGCCATTTCAGCCTGTTGATATAAAATTTATAAATTAAAAAATTAAAAAGAGCTAGGGGATATTTCCAGAAACAAGACCTCTGTAATGGCCCAGAACACAAATAGAAACAGTGTATTATTATTCCAGGAGCTGCTCACCATAGTTGCCAGGAATCTAAGATTGGATGCCTTTGGGGCTGAACCCCTGAGGACTCCGGAGAACACACATTGCCCCCCAAAAATCTACCTACCCGCACACATTTTCCACCCTCTCTGCAGGATGCCTCAAGGGAGAAAGTAAATGAAATCCAGAACAAATCACTTGGCCCCTGAGGCAGGAGGGTAACTGCTCACTGCTGTAGCTAAGTGTTTATTTCCTCTCCCCAAAGTATTGCTTCTGAGGTGGACATTTCCCTGCTGCAGACCCTCTGGGCGTGGGCAGAGAGGCCAGGGAAAGGTTAGGTGATGCAACTAGAGCATCTATTTAAATGAGAGGAAAGTGGCAGTACTGAAAATAGAAGAGGTTCAGAAAATTGTGGAGTCAGGCTGGGCTCGGTGGCTCATACGTGTAATCCCAGCACTTTGGGAGGCTGAGGCAGGTGGATCACATGAGGTCAAGAGTTCAAAACCAGCCTGGCCAACACAGTGAAACCCCATCTCTACTGAAAATATAAAAATTAGCCAGGCGTGGTGGAGCACGCCTGTAGTCCCAGCTACTCAGAGGCTAAGGCACGAGAATCACTTGAATCCGGAAGGCGGAGGTTGCAGTGAGCCAAAATGGTGCCACTGCCCTCCAGACTGGGAGACAGAGCAAGACTCTGTCACAAAAAAAAAAAAAAAAAAATGTGGGGCTAGTGGGAGGAAGAGCAGCTCTGTGAGCTCGGTGCCCTCCGGCCACACATGGAAAATCTCTTCATTCCTGCCATTTGGCCTTCATATTCACCAACATTTAATGTAAAAAAACATGTCATCGATATAGGCCAGAGGGAAGTACAGAGGCCTTCTTAAATACCACCACCAGAGACCACCAAGTTCAAGTTTAATTTAGCTGAATATTTAAATATGTTGACATCTCATCATGTAATAAAATAATAATAATATCCCTGGCCTGGTAAATGGTTACTATGGTGAACGAGAGGAGTGTGGTTATTTTAAAAGTCTATCAAGCCTATTATGAGGGCCCAAGGCAGGGGGAAGTGCGGGGATGCCAAGGCCGGACAGTAGTGTCAATGGTGAGCAGGATGAGGTTCTGGAGCTCGCTCTTGTGAGAAATGCACATCCTCCTGAGTGGTGTCTGCACCCTTGAACCTGGGGTGGGTGGCCTGGGGCCCAAACAGTGGGGGACAGCCCATGACATCTGCCTCCCCTTATACACAAACCCCTTAGCTACATGAAGCTGATTTCTCTCTTGTCGCTGTAGATATTTTTGGCAACAATCAATCCCTTTAAAATTTTTATTTTCCACTTTACAGAAAAAAATGCAGCAAACAGAAGACCCTAGTGACTGACAGTCCCTGGTGTTCATGTCTAATCCTGCTCATATTTAGAGACATAGTCATCAGCGTGAAGCTACTATTTTGTGTCCTGATTTTTCACATACCATGTTTTTGTCTTCTTCATATGTGTAGATAGTTCAGTTGCAGTCACCGAAAACCCTAAGTAGGTAGGAGACATCTTTGTGCCATTTCAATTAGCCAGTTCCCAGCCATCCTCTTAACTGTTGATCTAGAAGGTTAGCCCCAGATCAGTGCAGTTATAAATAGTCCATCCCCGGCTATCTTTTCCTAGAAGAATCCAATGTCATCTCAGCTAGGCAGAAACATATTTCAACTCCCAAACTGTTTCAAGAGTTTGAAAAGCTCAGGCCCAGAAGAAACAGACTGAACAGCTAACAGTCTTCTCTGCGTACAACTTTATAACAGGCCATGGGTTTAAAGTCCAAAAGGGCTCAAATTTCTACCCCACGTTTGACGACTCAGACCTCAATCCAGAGCTGAGCTGACTTTTCTGCGCCCAGGCCATGGCGGTGAAATGAAGGTGCAGCAGCCCCAGCCGGGCCCTCCTGATGGAGGTGTGTGGGGACGGCGCCACCCGCCACCCCGGCATCTGTAACCTGCATGCTCTTCTCCCTGGGTCTCCTGGAGGCAAAGCAACCTTGCTTGCCCGCTGTTGCAGAATAACAAGGGTCTTAGCCACAGGAGTTGCTGGCAAGTGGCAAGAACGAATGGTGAGCAGCAGTGTCGTTTAAGGTCTGGTCAGATTTGCAGATGCATAATGGGAATGCAGAAAGGCCATGTGCAGACAGACTGGACACAGTCGGAGGCAGCTCAAATCTGCCCCAGCCTTTCCAGGTGCTAAAGGATGAGTGACAGAGTCTACAGCTAAGGAGCTGGGGTGCCCCACAAAGGGTGGCCTTTTTACCTTTGTCCTTTGATTTTTTTCCTTTTAAAATCATATCTGTCTTCCTGTAGGTAAGCAAGAAAAAAAAGAAAAAGAAGATGAAATAAAATCGTATCTGTAGTTGACATAAAGTGTAACTTTGGGTGTGCAGCTTAAATGATGGTGAGGACTCTCCTGCCTACTGAAGGGCAGAAACGCCTTTGCTTGTCATTGTTTCCCCATGGCATCCAAGACAAAGTGGGTGCTCTGTGACGCTCTGGAGCCCCTCTCACGTTCTTCAGAGCTGCTAGAAAACCACGGGTGAGAGTCCAGTGGCTCCCAGGGAAGTGAGTGCTTTGCTCTCTGGTCTGGCCTCTGTAAAACCTGGGTGACTTGCTATCTATTTTTGTTGGTTTTGCTGTTTCCTTTTCAGATTACTTGATTGTAATTTGATGCCCTGTATAGGTTGAGAAATTTAGTTGATTTCATGGACTGTCATGTCGCAAATAGGACATTTCACATTTAACAGGTGCATTTGGAATCCCCTTAACTAATGTAGTTTAAGATGTACAATGAGTTAATACCAATGACTAGTAAAACGTGTAATCGTATTCTCCTTCCTCTGTGTGTCTTTCTGACAGAGCCCTCAGTCCCGACAATAGGAAGCTGAGAGGTGATCCACATATCCACGCACCCAGAGTTCAGGGGATCCTTGGCAGATGGGCATCGGTGTCATTTACTAACCAGCAGGATGGAGACCACGCCCTTAAATTCTCAGAAGCAGCTATCAGCGTGTAAGGATGGAGAAGACTGTCAGGAAAACGGAGTTCTGCAGAAGGGTGTCTCCACCCCAGGGGACAAATTGGAGTCCGGGCAAATATCTAATGGATACTCAGGGGTTCCAAGCCCCGGTGCGGGAGACGACATGAGGCACCCTATCCAGGCGGCTACCACCACCCTAGTGGCTGAGCTTCATCAAGGGGAACGGGAGACCTGGGGCAAGAAGGTGGATTTCCTCCTCTCAGTCATTGGCTATGCGGTGGACCTGGGCAACGTCTGGCGCTTCCCCTACATATGTTACCAGAATGGAGGGGGTCAGTATCATGGGCTTTGAGTAGAGGCTGTGACCCAGGGTGGGCGGTAGGTTCTCTTGAGAGGCTAGAAAACAGAGTATGTCTTTTCGGTCTTCATTGGTGTAAGTCTGGGAATATGATGGCTTAGATTTCAAGCTGGTTGAAAAGTCAAATCTTGTTGGGCACAGTGGCTTACGCCTGTAATCCCAGCACTTTGGGAAGCTGAGGCGGGCAGATCGCCTGAGGTCAGGAGTTTGAGACCAGCCTGGCCAACATAGCAAAGCCCTGTCTCTACTAAAAATATAAAAATTAGCTGGGTGTGGTGGCAGGCGCCTATAGTCCCAGCTACTTGGGAGGCTGAGGCAGGAGAATTGCCCAAACCTGGGAGGTGGTATCTGCAGTGAGCCGAGATCGCACCACTGCACTCCATCTGGGGCGACAGATCGAGACTCTGTCTCAAAAAAAAAGAAAAGGTCAAGGTTGGGCGCGGTGGCTCATGCCTGTAATCCTAGCACTTTGGGAGGCCAAGGCGGGTGGATCACAAGGTCAGGAGTTCATGTGCAGCCTGGCCAACATGGTGAATCCCTATCTCTACTAAAAATTACAAAAATCAGCTGGGCGAGGTGGCAGGCACTGTAATCCCAGCTATTTGGGAGGCTTAGGCAGGAGAATCACTTGAACCCAGTGGGCAAAAGTTGCAGTGAGCCAAGATCACGTCACTGCACTCCAGCCTGGGCGACAAAGTGAGACTTTGTCTCAGAAAAACAAAAGAAAGGAAAAGTCAAATCTCCAGTAAGCCAAATGCGGAAGGCAGCGTGTCGGAGGCTCTCCAGGTTGTGAAGCTGGGTGAAGCCCACCCAAGCCTGACCTCACAGACCTCAACATTGTTAGCACTCCATTTATTAAAGGGTCTCCTCCTCATCCTGCATTCTCCAGGCCAGAAGTGAGGGAATGGCTGTCAGCCTTGTGCTAAGTTCCTTCACTCCTGCTGGCAGGTTCTGCTGGGAAGAGTCCAGAAGGCTAGGCTTGCGTAAGGGAAAATTTGGAGGCGGCTTCAGAGTCCCAGATGCTTCTGGACCTTTAAACCTGTGTGAGGTCAGAGAAGGGCATCGATGTAGGTCCAGAGTCTTAAACCAGGCTGGGCAGACTCTAAAGCTGGATTAGATTACAGCATGACATTAAAAGCCAACCTCAAACCAGGCATGGCTGTCCCTCCTATCTCCTCCTTGGAGGTTAGATTTTTGAGGCCAGAGGCCCTATCTTGTTCCTTCTACCCCTAAAGCCTCTCAAGTAGTTAATTTGTAGATTATCAAAAATAGTAGCTGATTGTGGGCATGACGATGGGAACCTGAGAGAGAGCAGAGCAGTGGGGAAAGTGCATGGGTTGGGGCCTCTCACTTGGGCTGGTTATCAGCACAGGAAGATAACAAGAAGTGGGGCTCCAGTGAGTCCATCTTGATTTTGATGGGAGCTCTGATGACAGATTTGGGAGGGCAGCTAAAAGAGGTTTGGGAATCATCCATTTGTGTCACCCTCACTTCCCCCTTGACCTAACACAGAGTGGCCTGGATTTGCTGTTTTTTGAGAGCATTTCTGTCCATGCAGATGCAAAGGTAGTGCCAGGGGCCCCTCGGAAGCTCTGCGCTTCCCACCGAGGAGGAGCAAAAGTCATAATCACCCTATCTCCTGCTCCAGAGGGCTCACCTTTAGCCTGAGCATTATGTAAGGGGCTGGGTCACTGGTGACGTTTCTGCTACACTCATTCCCCAGCATAAAGCCGATCAAGCAAACCCTTTGGAGGAAGGCCACCACAAGAACACGTGGTTTTTATTCTCAAGCCGGATTTACCTAGTGTGATTGTAAATTATGTGGACCTTTCTGACTTGCACAGACCTCAGGTTTCCTGGGTTCAGAGTATTTTACAGCAGGGAAAGTTATCAGGGAAAATTGCAGCTGACCCACCCTTTTGGCATTTTTATTTTTTTATTATTTATTTATTTAGAGGCGGAATTTTGCTCTTGTTGCCCAGGCTGGAATGCAATGGCGCGATCTCAGCTCACTGCAACCTCCGCCTCCCGAGTTCAAGTGATTCTCCTACCTCAGCCTCCTGAGTAGCTGGGACTACAAGGCACCTGCCACGATGCCCAGCTAATTTTATATTTTTGGTAGAGACAAGGTTTCTTCATGTTGGTCAGGCTGGTCTCGAACTCCCGACCTCAGGTGATCCACCTGCCTCAGCCTCCCGAAGTGCTGGGATTACGGGCGTGAGCCACCGCTCTGGGCCCCCAACTTGGTATTCTTAAATTCAGCCTCAGCCACAAGTCCAGGAAACACCAGCATCTCCACTTATGTAGCAGCTCTTGCTTTCTTGTTCTGTGAAAAACTACCCTGTCCAGCCACTCCTGCAAATGGGGCTTGTCAGGGAGCATTCTGGCTCAATGGAATTATAGAAGTGTAGCCAAATATCAATGATCATGTGTCTGGAGCCATAGATAATACCGATGAACAAAGGTATTGATTCAGTGACTCACAGATGGTGGCAGCTGTTGCTATACATCGTCACAGGTGATCTATTCCAAGGGTCCCAGGTACTGGTTCCATCAGAGTCACCTACGGAACTTGAACACAATTTTTGTGTTGTACCCGTGCTTGGAGATTCGGCTTCAGGAGGTCTGGGGTAGACCCAGGAATCTAGGTGATTATGAGGTGTGGCTACATCTGGGAAACTCAGCTCTCCTCAACTGTGTTCCTTTATAGGGAGGAAATTGGGGCTCAGAGAGGGGAAGCAGCCCAGGGTTCTCCAGGCAGTCAGAGTGGACGTGGTCCTGCCTGTCTGCTGACTCCCAAACCTGGCTTTCTTCCCAATCTCTCTCTTGCCCTCCTCTGAAACTTCATTTTAGTCATGGTGCTTCCCCTACAACTGCTTCTGGCAGAGCACTAAGACCAGGGGAACACAGCGTAAGGCCACTCAGCCTAGGGTGGCTCCGGGACACTCAAATCATGCCGTGACTGTGACTCGGGGTCACAGATCAGTTGGGCTATCCTAGGACAGATGTGGGCAGGGAGTGAAATTGTCTTTCATCTGCCTCAGGGGCATTCCTCCTCCCCTACACCATCATGGCCATTTTTGGGGGAATCCCACTCTTTTACATGGAGCTCGCACTGGGACAGTACCACCGAAATGGATGCATTTCCATATGGAGGAAAATCTGCCCGATTTTCAAAGGTAACTGAAGGGTTCTGTGGGGTGGGTAAGTGGAGCCTCCGAGGAAGCGATTTCCATCAGTGGGTGGGAGCTGGGAGCCTTCTTCTGGAATCAGTTAGGCCTGAGGCATCCCTGGCTTGAGCAATAAAGGTTCTGACTGCGCACGTGGCATGCAATTGTTAAAGAGAAACAGAATAAATGGCAATTCGAAGTAAACAAACGTAAACATTTTAAAGCATTAACAGGACATGTACACATTTTCTAAAACATGTTACCTTGCTAATACATACGAGTGACTCCCTGCAGGCCACTCTCCCCGCTGAGGCCTGGAGTCCTTGGAATGGAATGGAGGGCGGCACCACCCTGTCCCCCTCTGCTGGGCTGCGGGCCTCTCCGGCGGGCGCCGTGTCAGCCTTCTGTCGTTGGGCCACCCTTAAACCCGGCCTCTCTCCCATCGCCCTGCCCAGGGATTGGTTACGCCATCTGCATCATCGCCTTCTACATCGCCTCCTACTACAACACCATCATGGCCTGGGCGCTCTACTACCTCATCTCCTCCTTCACGGACCAGCTGCCCTGGACCAGCTGCAGGAACTCCTGGAACACTGGCAACTGCACCAACTACTTCTCTGAGGGCAACATCACCTGGACCCTCCATTCCACATCCCCTGCTGAAGAATTTTACACGTAAGTGCATGTAAGTGAGGGGTTGGCCTGTTAGGGGCAGGCCACACCCCTGGGGTTTGGCTTCTCAGGAAGAAGGCTGGGGCCAAGCGCAGATTTCTGAGAGATGAAGTTATCCAGGGGTGGGAGGAGCAGAATTCGGAGTTGGGAAACTACCTCGCCTGCCCCACGGGCTGGCCCTGCTGTGCCTCCCTGAACTTTCTCAAGCGCCAAGCGAGCTTGCTCCAGCGTGCCCATGCTGGTGCCTGCCTTCACATTCCAGAATCACTCCCCTGCAGCTGCCCTGCTTCCAGGCTCCTCCTCTCAGCCAAATGTCTTGGAGATAAAGCATCCTACTGCTTTGATAGTTCAAAACTATTCAAATGCTGTAATGTGTTGACTTCATAAGTGGGGTCTACCTTTGGAAGAAGATTCTGGGAAAGGTCGTTTTCTTTAATGCTGGAATTCTAGGCAATGGCAGCCCAAAGAGAGACCTACTTCAGGGGAGGGAAGGGAGTCCACTCCCCACACTGACACATCCCTCAGGTTCCCAGAAGCCAGTTGCGTTGCTCCAAGGAGTTCAGGTCCCAGCCAGCAGAGGAGAGTCGAGGAAGTCTGCGTTTGGGTTGAACACTCTTCCCAGGGTGTTGGCCGAATGTGCTGTGTGGTTCTTCAGGACGGGCAGGGCCAATCCCAGCTCATCCTGGGCCTCAGGCAGCACAGTGGCCATTTGTCCTGGGCACCCTCAAAGGAACAGCATAGATGTGTGCCCAGGTCACTCTCCAGAGCCCTCAGGAGCTTTTCTTTCTCCTTCACCCCAGGCGCCACGTTCTGCAGATCCACCGGTCTAAGGGGCTCCAGGACCTGGGGGGCATCAGCTGGCAGCTGGCCCTTTGCATCATGCTGATCTTCACTGTTATCTACTTCAGCATCTGGAAAGGCGTCAAGACCTCTGGCAAGGTGAGGAGGGCTCTGGCGGCTGACCCAGGCCTGCCCCCCGGCGCACAGGCTCTCAAACTCAGAACCCAGTAGCCTGGATGGCTCCTGCTCAGGGCATAGCCATTGTTTCCTTCCACACCAAACACATTCCTGATGCACCCTCCCTCTCTTCACCATATTTGTTAGAAAATTCTATAAGTGGATTGGACATGGTGGCTCACACCTCTAATCCCAGCACTTTGGGAAGCTGAGGTGGATGGATCACTTGAAGCCAGGAGTTCAAGACCAGCCTGGCCAGCACGGCGAAACCTGCTCTCTACTTAAAAAAAAAAAAAAAGCCAGGTGTGGTGGCAGGTGCCTGTAATCCCAGCTACTCAGGAGGCTGAGGCAAGAGAATCACTTGAATCCAGGAGGCCGAGGTTTCGGTGAGCCAAGATCGCACTGTTACACTCCTGGGCAACAGAGTGAGATTTTGTCTCACATAGAAAAAAAAAAAAAAAAAAGGAAAAGAAGAAAGAAAAATTTCTAGAAATGGGCCAATGCCAAGAATCATTACATGATTTTTTCCCCCAAATTCCTTTAACCTACAATTAATGATAGTATCATAATTAATAATCGTGGTGATAATTTACTGGAAACCCATGATGGACCATGTTCAGTGCTTTTTATATGCTGGCCAGCTCGAGATACTCCCCCAGCCTTACAGATGGATAGTGGGCTCTGAGGCGGTTCTACTGGCCAAGCGGAATTTGATCCCTGTCTGTGTGATTCCAAAGGCTGTGAGGTTTCTGCCATACCCCCTCACCCTCCTTTCTCAAAGTCTTCGAGAATAAAAGACACCGACACCCACCCAGCTCCCTCCCTCCCGCTCCCTTCCCTAGAACAGTAGATGATAACGCAGGCTTTGGCCCTCCTTCCTTACAGGTGGTGTGGGTGACAGCCACCTTCCCTTATATCATCCTTTCTGTCCTGCTGGTGAGGGGTGCCACCCTCCCTGGAGCCTGGAGGGGTGTTCTCTTCTACTTGAAACCTAACTGGCAGAAGCTCCTGGAGACAGGGGTAAGAAATACGCACACCTGTCTGTCATTTTACTAAATGAAGCCGGTCCTCCTCCAAATAGGACAGAAGGGACAACTGAAATTTGGTTTCAGTGTGCAAGTCTGCAGTGATACTTTAACTCAGAAATACAAGCATTAAAGTACAGTTGAGGCCACTGGGTGGGTTTATGCCTAAATGATAGAAAGAGAAATCACATTTGTTTGCACTTGATTTATGGCTACGCCTGGAATGAGCCTTACTTAAAAGCTGGGTTTCTGCCTCTGCACTTGGCCACATGGAGGCAGGAGAGGTGAGCCTGCCGGTGCCCAGGGTCAGCCTGCGCCTCCCCTACCCCCTGCCCTTCCCCGCGCTGTGTTCCAGGTGTGGATAGATGCTGCTGCTCAGATCTTCTTCTCTCTTGGTCCGGGCTTTGGGGTCCTTCTGGCTTTCGCCAGCTACAACAAATTCAGCAACAACTGCTACCAGTGAGTACCGGGCGAGCAGAGCTTGAGAGCGGGGCGCTGAACGTCAGCTAGTGTGGGGGAGGATGATGGGACTGACGGCCTTGATGCCATCGCCCCTCGGGGCAATGTTGCAGGCCCCTGACCAGTTCACTCATGGTCAGAGCACTCATTGAGGCTGTGGCTTCACCTGGGCCACTCAGAGGTTGAGAGGGGCCCCAGGCCCTTCGGTTTTGTCAAAGCTCCTGTATATAAAAATAATAAGAGGCTGGACATGGTAGCTCACCATGTCCTGTAATCCCAGCACTTTGAGAGGCTGAGGCGGGCAGATCACCTGAGGTCAGGAGTTCCAGACCAACCTGGCTAACATGGCAAAACCCATTTCTACTAAGAATACAAAGATTAGCCAGGCTTGGTGGTGCACACCTGTAATCTCAGCCACCTGGGAGGCTGAGGCACGAGAGTTGCTTGAACCACCGTACTGCAGCCTGAGCAACAGAGCAAGACTCTGTCTCAAAAAAATAGAAAGAGAAAGGAAGGAAGGAAGAAAGAAGAAAGAAAGGAGGGAGGGAGGGAGGAAGAAGGAAGGAAGGAGGGAGGAAGAAGGAAGGAAGGAAAGAAAGAAGAAGGAAGGAAGGAAGGAAGGAAAGGAGAAATTACAAAACAAGTTTACAAAAAGTTGCAACATACAATTATGTAGCTAGGTTGAATTAGTTAATGTGTTCTTTTTTCTTTCTTTTTTTTTTTTTTCCTTTTTTTTTTTTTTTTTGAGGGAAAAAGAGAAGAAGGGGAAAAAAAGAAAAAGGGAAAAAGGAATATTACTTCACTCCTAAAATGGGTTTCAATAATGGCCGATCAATATTTTGAGTTTTTAAAGTGGTTAATGCATATTTTATGTGTTTAAAATGGAGACCTCTATTGTGTTTATTTGTTCTGGCTCTGAGTTCAAGTCCTGGATATCATTATCAATTTGTTGTCTCGTTGAATCTAAATCTCATTATGTGTCTTATGTATCTGGGTGTTAAGATCTCTTATTGTTACATTAATCCTTTTACCCTTGCATCCTTGTAGCTTTGAAATCTATTTTATTAAGTGTGAGAATTGCAACTCCTGCTTTTTATTTATTTATTTTTGCTCTCCATTTGGTTAGTGAGTTTTTTTCCATCCCCTTGTTTTGAGTCTTTGTATATCTTTAGATATATCATTAGATTTTGTGGATAATGTATATTTTGTGTGTTTAAAATGGAGAGCCCTATTGAGTTTATTTGTTCTGGATCTTAGTTCCAGTCCTGGATATCGTTATCAATTTTCTGTCTCGTTGAATCTAAATCTCATTATGGGTCTTATGTATCTGGGTGTTAAGATCTCTTATTATTACATTAATCCTTTTATCCTTGTAGCTTTGAAATCTATTTTGTCAAATGTGAAAATTGCAACTCCTGCTTTTTATTTATTTATTTTTGCTCTCCATTTGGTTGGTACTTTTTTTTCCAACGCTTTATTTGGAGTCTATGTATATCTTTGGATATACCGTTAGATTTTGTCTGTATCTTTTGATTGGGAGATTTGGTCGATTTAAATTTAGGGTTGCTGCCGTTTGATATTAACTGGCTATTTTGTCCTTTTGTTGATAAAAATTCTTCTTTATGTTAATGCTCTTTACTTTTTGGTGTATTTTTAGAAAGGGTCATACTGGTTGTTCCTTTCTGTGTATAATGCTTCTTTTAGAAGTTCTTGTAAAGCAGGCCTGGTGGTAATAAAATCTCTGAGTACTTGCTTGTTCCTAAAAAATTTTTATTTTTCCTTCAAATGTAAAGCTTAAATTGGCAGGATATGAAATTCTGGGCTGAAAGTTCTGTTGATTAAGTATATTGAATATTGGCACCCACTCTCTTCTAGCTTGTAGGGTTTCCGTTGAGAGATCTGCTGTAAGCCTAATAGGCTTACCTTTATGGGTAACTTGATCTTTCTCTCTGGCTGCCCTTAATATTTTCTCCTTCGTTTCGATCTTGGTGAATCTAACGATTATGTGCCTTGGGGTTGGTCTTCTTGAGGAATATCTTTGTGGTGTTCTCTGTATTTCCTGGGGTTGAATAGTGTCCTGCTTTGCTAAATTAGGAAAATTTTCCTGGATAATGTCCTGGAGAGTATTTTCCAGCTTGAATTCATTCTCTCCGTCACATTCAGGTATACCAATCAAGCGTATATTAGTTCTTTTCACATAATCCCATATTGCTTGGAGACTTTGCTCATTCCTTTTTATCCTTTTTTCTCTATTCTTGTCTTGTTGTTTTGTTTCATTAAGTTGATCTTCGACCTCTGATACCCTTTCTTCTGCTTGATCCATTCGGAGTTAATGTGTTTAACAACCAAAATTGTAATGTGATTATTTATTTGTATGATGTATAAATGAAAAGTATGATGACCATATTATTTTGACTAACACAAAATGCCATAATTTTTTCAACAAAATTCTACTTCAGAAATGTTAACAAAACAGGGAGTGTTACACCAATTATGGTTTAAACATCACCCCTGGGCTGGGTATGGTGGCTCACACCTGCAATCCTAGCCCTTTGGGAGGCTGAGGCAGGAGGATCACTTGAGCCCAAGAGTTTGAGTCCAGCCTGGGCAACATGATGAGACCCAGTGTCTACAAACATTTAAAAATTAGCTGAGTGTGGTGGTGCATGCCTATGGTCCCAGCTCTTCCGGAGGCTGACGCAAGAAGATTGCTTGAGCCCAGGAGGTTAAAGCTACAGTGAGCTGTGTTCATGCCACTGCACTTCAGCCTGTGCAACAGGGGAGACCCTGTCTCAAAAATAGATATCACCATCATCTTTAGACTTAATTCTGTTCAATCACAGATGACAGCATCCAGCAATCTCCTTGTGCTATGCATAAGGTAACTGCAGAATAGATTTTTTTTTAAACGTGGGAGGGAAATTCACTTGTACACTAAGTAATGTGGCCTTGCACTGGGACACCACCCTGAATTTGTATGATAAGGTTGTCTTTTAAAAGTGTGAGGGTGGGAGTTTGAGACCAGCCTGGCCAATATGGGGAAACCCCATCTCTACTACAAATACGAAAATTAGCCAGGTGTGGTGGCAGGCACCTGTAGTCCCAGCTACTCTGGAGGCTGAGGCAGAAGAATCACCTGAACCTGGGAGGCGGAGGTTGCAGTGAGCCGAGATAGAGCCACTGCACTCCAACCTGGCTACAGAGAGAGGCTCTGTCTCACACACAAAAAAGTGTGAGGATATCTCGGTGGCTGGCAGTCTTGTGACTTCATGTGAGATGATGTCAAGGTCTAAATCTGAGGCTCTCACAAACGGGAGGCCCAAGGCCTGTCCTGGCTCCACTCTAACCCGGGCCCTGCTCGGGAACAAGGCTGGTTTGAAATGGAGTGGCCTGTGCTGTGCTCGTTTACCGCAGATGGCCTCTGAAAGCGCCCTCACTGCTGTCCCTGCACCATGTGTGGTGGTCATGGCAGCTGGAGCTTCAGGCCTCGGCAGGGGACTCCGGGACAGGCCTGAGGTCCCTTAAGTTCAGCCTGCTTGTCCTTGCTGTGGCCAGCCTGTCTCAGGCAGGACAGACACACAGACAGATGCTCCTTAGACCCCCAATCTTGGAACCGTCTCAAGCAGCCCCTTGGGTTTTTCACTGCAGAGATGCTCTGGTGACCAGCGTGGTGAACTGCATGACGAGCTTTGTTTCGGGATTTGTCATCTTCACGGTGCTCGGCTACATGGCTGAGATGAGGAATGAAGATGTGTCTGAGGTGGCCAAAGACGCAGGTAGGACCTCAGGTTCTGTGCAGGTCCCTTGCTCCTACCGAGATGCTTTGCTTTGAATCTTTATAAATATCTAACTTTTGATTTATTTCTAAATGTTCCCGAAATTTTCCAAAGAACTCTAGGCATGGTGGAGTTGAAGACCAGCCTGGACAACATAGTGAGACCCTGCCTCTATAAAAAATAAATTCACTGGGCGTGGTAGTGCACACCTGTAGTCCCAGCTACTCAGGAGGCTGAGGTGGGAGGACTGCTTGAGCCTGGGAGGTCAAGGTGCAGTGAGCCATGATCACACCACTGTACTTCAGCCTGGGTGACACAGCAAGACCTTGTCTCCAAAATAAGAACTTTTTTTATTCAAAGATTTGAGAGAAGCCCGATGCCTTGGAGATTTTTCCGTGTGTTCAGGCTGTGCAAGGACAGTACCCCTCCCTTGGCACCCAGCACTGGGGCCTTCAAAACCTTTGGGCTTGAAATTATGACTCTGATGATGGCTTTATAGCCGTGGGGTTGCTTTCTGCGATAAGTCTTATGTTGGATCAAAGTCTAGTAAGCTAATCATCATTTATCCTTAGAACTGCCCCTGTAGAAAAAGAAAATCTAGCCAATATGACCACTCTATTTTACTGAGCAGTTCTCATGGAAAAGGCAAGCGACAGAGATGAAAACACAGATGATGGCATCTAGTGGATGAGGTCCTGGGCCTTCTTGCTAACACGCTTGTATCTTTGGCCGATTCGGTGCTTTGACCAACCCCATACCCCAAATGAGGGCACCCTTAGCTAGCCCAGGAGAGGCTGAAGACACGTCCCTCACACTATCAAAAGGGACTTTAAAATAGAAAGAGGTCTTTATTCCAAGGCCTCCGTGACTCTACGGAAATCAACTGAACATTTCCTACTGTTCTGGAGCTAAAGACATCAGAGGGGGTAACTGCCATGGAGCTCAGAAATCTCAATCCTAGCCCTGAAAAACCCCATGGCATTGCGATAGGGTGGAAACTCTGATTCTTGTGTGCAGCTTTGCCAGTCTTTGGGTCTTAGATCTGTTACTACCACCCCTGTGTTAATGGAGGGCACATAGTCTTCAAGATGGAGGCTCCACCCTTCCTGCCTCCCAGGAACTGGGTGGCCAGGTCAGATGGAATAGAGCGTGAGGAAGTGCTTGGTGTGTGTCAGAACCTGATTCATGAGTCAGGGCTTGTGATGAGAAGTGTAACCCCTGGCTGAGTTTCCTCTGTGACGTCCTTGTAGGACAGGTCTTGTCACCCCCGCCTCCTCTCTGCCCTCTGTCTCAGGACCCAGCCTCCTCTTCATCACCTATGCAGAAGCGATCGCCAATATGCCAGCGTCCACTTTCTTTGCCATCATCTTCTTTCTGATGCTGATCACGCTGGGCTTGGACAGCACAGTGAGTAAATGGGAAGGGGACATGGGCTCTGGAGGATGAGAGGAGGACACAGCTGTACTCAATTCCCTCCCGTCCCGGCCATCCCCGGCAGCGCTGACTGCTCCCTCCTGGTGCTCCAGATCCCCAGCTTCCTCCTCGGCATTTACCACTAGTACATTTGAGTTGTTACTGGGATAATGTGGGTCAAGTACCTGGCACAGGCCCAAGGCTCACTCATGTGAACTGTTACTGAGCCCTGCCCCTTGGCCTGATTACGGCGCCTACAGGCCAGGGCGAGGTCTCTCCTGGGTCTCTGCCTTGCCGAGCACTCAGTTCAGGTCCTGGCATGAGTGAAGTGAGTCTCAGCTTTGAGTTGGCTTTTCTGGAGCAAACAAAGTCTCCCCAAGAGACCTCACATATCGAAGTTCTGTCCACGTGTTCTATTTTCTTTCCGGGCTGTCCTTAGTGATGGGCTTTAAATGACAGTGTCAAACAGGGAAATACTCTTTGCGATGCTTTCCTGGGCCAGTGAGTCGGGAAACTGGTGATGATCAGCTTGACCGGTCTCTCAGCAACCTTACCCCTCCCTCCCGTTCACGGTCCTGAAGGCCACGGCCTTGTCCCAAAGCCTCCACCATGACTGCTTGCCTGAACCTCTCAGTTTGCAGGCTTGGAGGGAGTGATCACAGCTGTGCTGGATGAGTTCCCACACATCTGGGCCAAGCGCCGGGAGCAGTTCGTGCTTGCCGTGGTCATCACCTGCTTCTTCGGATCCCTGGTCACCCTGACATTTGTGAGTGCCACGCCCCTCAGTTTTGAGTTGGCCTCCCCTAGGGCAACAGAACTATACAGGAAGCTGTTCCTCTCCTTCCATCCCACACAGTGCCCTGGATTTGGGACCAACGGGGAGGGGGTTGCTACTCACATTTAAGTTTGCCATCGGTTGGGCTCACCCCTGTAATCCCAGCACTTTGAGAGGCCGAGGAGAGTGGGTCATTTGAGGTCAGGAGTTCAAGATCAGCCTGGCCAGCATAGTGAAACCCTGCTTCTACTAAAAATTAAAAAATGGTCAGGTGTGGTGGCAGGTGCCTGTAGTCCCAGCTATTTGGGAGGCTGAGGCAGGAGAATCACTTGAACCCAGGAGGTGGAGGTTGCAGTGAGCCGAGATTGTGCCACTGCACTCCAGCCTGGGTGACAAAGTGAGACTCCATCCAAAAAAAAAAAAAAAACTGTTGTCCAGGAGAAGAAGAAAAGTTGTTTCTGGCACATCCATTTGTAGACTCTGTGCACAGCATCCAGGGGCTCTCAGCATTTCACAGTAGACACAACTAGATTTCAGAAAACAAAACTGTGACCAAGGCCCTCAATGTGTCTGGTATCCTGGGCCCTTCTGGATTCAGTCTTTAGAGGCAGGGATCCTCAGGGTCATGTCCACAGCAAGTGTTTAATAAGTTGAAGAAAGTTTAAAATAGATCCCATGGTCCTTTGGAGTATGTCTCTTAAAATTTGGCAAAGAGAGGAAACAAGAAGAATGAACTACATAGGATGGGAAGAGGTATCTGAGTGGGTAAAACCTGCCCACACTGCAAAGACAGTTTCTTTTTTTCGTTTTCTTTCTTTTTTTGAGACCGAGTCTCACACTATCCCTAGGCTGGAGTGCAGTGCTGAGTTCTTAGCTCACTGCAACCTCCACCTGCCAGGTTCAAGCAATTCTTCTGCCTCAGCAATTCACCTGACCTCACGTGATCCACCCATCTCAGCCTCCTAAAGTGCTGGGATTACAGGCGTGAGCCACCATGCCCATTCTGAGGCAGTTTCTGGGGTACTCATGTTCGGTCCCAGGTGGGATTTTTCCAGAATGATTCTAAGTTAGGAAGCCCTTGCAGGTCTCTGTAGTTGGGAGGGGCAGCACCTCGGAGGGTCCTCACCCAGGCTCTGCTCTCCCCTCCAGGGAGGGGCCTACGTGGTGAAGCTGCTGGAGGAGTATGCCACGGGGCCCGCAGTGCTCACTGTGGTGCTGATTGAGGCAGTTGCTGTGTCTTGGTTCTACGGTAAGATGCTTCCTTCAGCCCGCTGTGTCCCTTCTACACCATCAGCCGGCACAACACAAAGGGCTGATTTAACCCGAAAAGGCGGGGAGGGGCAATTTACAAGAGGTGACATCCTGACAATGGGTCTGTAAAAGAGTCTTGGCCAGGTGAGATGGCTCACCCCTGTAATCCCAACACCTGAGGTCAGGAGTTTGAGACCAGCTTGGCTAACATGATGAAACCCTGTCTCTACTAGAAATACAAAAAAAAAAAAAATGCTGGGCATGGTGGTGCATGCCTGTAATTTCAGCTACTTGGGAGGCTGAGGCAGATTGCCTTAAATACCGGAGGCAGAGACTGAAGTGAGCGAAGACTGCACCACTGCACTTCAGCCTGGGTAACAGAGTGAGAGTCTGTCTCAAAACAAACAAAAAACCCGAAAACAAACAAAAACAAACCACTTTTGCCTGGTATTTGCTACACATATTAAGGAGGTAGGGGGCATATTTTGGGTTGCACGTGGGCTTGGATTTTTTTAAAGAAGAAATCTTCCCACCTCCCTGGTGATCCAGAGGACCAAGTTCAAGTGTGTGATCTCTACAGACCTGCCCAAGGAACTGCTGGGACCTCTGGGGGAAGCAACCACAGAGCACCTTTCCCTTCTCAATTGCTCACCCTTCTTTGGGAGTTTTCAGTTCTCAGTTCTGCACCAGTTACTTTAGATAGAAGAACCTTGATCTTGATCTGGCGTATGAATGGGCAATATTGGGGTTAAAAATGTCCCTTGAAGGTTTCCAGTGTAATGATCAAAGTGACTGTCAGGCGGGTTCACCATTCCTAGACAAAGTTCAACTTTCTTTTCCACAATAACATTGATATCAGTTACGCACGCAGCTCTTAGGAAGGCAGTGTGGTGCCCAGAAGGGCGTGTCAGTCTCCTCCCAGATGCCCACCCATCCTCCCTCCCTATGTAGAAAGAGTCTTGCTTGCTATAAAAATGCAGTTTTGTGACAAGTCCCCCAGTCCTACTTTTAGACCAGATTGCTGTGGCTGTGCTCCTCCTACAGAGAAATTCCAGAGCTGCTCTGTGTGTCCTGGGTAGGAATTCCGGTTCCCATTCCCCTTGTCATTCCCAGTGCTGATCCTGTGACTCTGCCTCTCCCGGAGAATAAGGGCACAGCAGCACAGCCCGTGTCCTCTCTCAGTCTCTGCCTCTCTTCCCCTTGGCTGGTTCCAGGCATCACTCAGTTCTGCAGGGATGTGAAGGAAATGCTCGGCTTCAGCCCGGGGTGGTTCTGGAGGATCTGCTGGGTGGCCATCAGCCCTCTGTTTCTCCTGGTGAGTTGCCATTTCCCTTTTCCTCTTCGCCCTGGCGAAAGACTCCCTGCCAGACACATAAAAAATGAATTGCAATGGCTGGGCGCTATGGCTCATACCTGTAATCCCAACACTTTGGGAGCCTGAAGCAGGTGGCCAACATGGTGAAACCCCATCTCTACTTAAAAAAAATACAAAACTTAGATGGGCGTGGTGATGGGCACCTGTAATCCCAGCTACCTGGGAGGCTGAGGCAGGAGAATAGCTTGAACCCAGGAAGTGGAGGTTTCAGTGAGCTGAGATCACACCACTGACTCCAGCCTGGGCAACCGAGCAAGATTCCATCTCAGAAAATAAATAAATAAACAAACAAATAATAGTATTGAAGAATAACATATACAGAAAAGTATTAATACACAGATCATAAGTGTACATCTCAAAGAAATGTTATAAATTGAGCACACCTATGTAACCAAAACCATACCAGGAGACAAAAACATGACCAGCTGCACTTCAGAGCCCCTCTTGTGCCCCTCCCAGCCACTGTGCCCACCATGGTTCCCCACGTTTCTGACTTGTAACACCGTGGAGTAGTCTGGGCTCCAGTCACTCCAGCACGTCGCACCTCTGCTCAGTAATAATGATGCATAACATTTATTGAGCACTAAATGCCAGGCCAGACTTCATGCTCAGTTTGTACTCACTGCTCTATAAATCCTCACAATAGTTCTATGAAGTGATTATAGTTCTGGCACTCTGGGATTACAGGTGTGAGCCACCACGCTTGTTTTTTGTCTTTTAGAGACAGAAGTGTTATTAGATTGATCCTTCAGTCCACCGCCAGCTTATTAGGAGCATGTGGGCGATGCCATTGTGTTTTAGGACATCTTTTTGTCATCCAGCTATTCTGTGTCCCCTTTCAAAATAGCCCTTTTGGTTGTTCGAAATCACCTAGCCCATCCTTACCAGAAGCAGAAGTCCTGACATAAATGGGTTATTAATTTATATTATTACCAGTACGTCTCAACAATCTACTTAAACATTTTTGTTTTCAAAGGCAGAAAAGTCCCTGGATTAATTCCTTGAGGGCAGAAAGATGTTTGTTTGTTTCTTTCTTTCTTTCCTATTATCCCCGCACAGTGAGGAAGTGCTGTCCACGGAGACTTGAAGGCAAGTGAGATATTCACCGTGGGCGTAAAGTTTAAGAAGGCACCAAACAACTCAGTACTCAAGATAAATATTATTCTTGGGCAATGCTTTTCAAAAATAAAAATTGCCAGGTGCGGTGGCTCATGCCTGTAATCCCAGTGCTTTGGGAGGCTGAGGCGGGTGGATCATGAGTTCAAGAGATCAAAGTCATCCTGGTCAACATGGTGAAACCCCAACTCTACTAAAAATACAAAATATTAGCCGGGTATGGTGGCGCGCACCTGTAGTCCCAGCTACTCTGGAGGCTGAGGCAGGAGAATCACTTAAACCCAGGAAGCAGAAGTTGCAGGAGCTAGATCGTGCCACTGCACTATGGCCTGGTGACAGAGTGAGACTCCATCTCACACAAAAAAATAAAAAGTTAATAAATAAAAATTAATGCAAAAAGATTCATGATTAACAAAATATCAACATTTTAAATAAACACAGGAGCCAGCCCGTACTTGTACATCTTACCTCACTCGCCTTACCCTAATCTGGTCCTGTTAGATCCTTTCTTTTAAAAATTGTCGTAAAATATTATTTATTTTGATTTTGGCTCCCGCTTAACTGTTGTGCCTGAGGTGAGTGTCTCCATGTACCCTGGGGCTTGGGTCTGTTCATTTCTGTCCGTTTTTGGCTGTCAGGCTGGGTAAGCTCTTGGTACACAGTCAATGAGTTTCTTTGCCCAGTAAAACCCACGTGCAGCTTTGGATGTGGGCCCATTACCCGTAATTCCCGTGATGTTTGCCGTACTCACCCCCTCTACCGGCAAGAGCCCTAGTGCCTAATTGAGAGAGGCAAATCTGCCTTCCACTTCTACGTTTACTTAACAGATCCCCTGCCTGCGCTTTTTAAGGCTGCTTTAGGTAAACAACAAGTAGCTTACTAAAAATAATTCTTTTTCACCGCAGCCAAGTTACAAAAAAAGAAAATATTGTGTATGAGTAGAAGCCAGGATGTGTGATGGGGTTTCTGAAGTAGCACTTGCCCCAACCAGAGGCTGAGCCCCCTGACGACCGAGTGGGATTTCACACACCTGACATGAAGAGACACGTGGCTGGGATGATTCCTAACCAGATCCTCTATCCCTGTTCCCAAATAGCTCCCTTAGTAGCTGGGTCTGCAGATGAGGAGCGTGGGTTAGGAGAAAGGTTTGCAATTGACCCGGCTCATGTTTTGAAGGCTTCCTTGTGGTCTTAGGATAGCACTGCTCAGAAGATGGATGTGTGTTTAACAATTTCCCGTTTTATTACCTGCAGACAAAGAAGAAAAAGATATAAATAGATGTTTAACCACACAAATAATTTACATTACTGTCTTCTTTATGACTATGAAATAATAAAATAAAATTAAATCAAGAACAATGATGATTTCGACACAGTGGTTACTAGGCAAAAACTGATATTTACACTCTCTGGAAACCAAACTGAAATAAGAAAACTCAAAAACTGGGTGTTGGGAGCACACTGTGGACTTTTTCTTGGTCAGTATTCTCACAGAATATTCAAGTGAAAAGTGTATTAAGGTGCTTTTTTTCCTTCCGTAATTCCTTTTGTGATGAGGACCGGTGGCAGGCGGTCGGTCATTGTTGAGAGGCCTAGTGGCAGAGCCAACCTCGTTGAAACCCCAGTCAATGGAGCTTAATGCGGAAGGCAGAGAGCTCAAGAAAGCGAGAGGAGCACACCCCCAGGAGCCTGAGTCCCCTCCGGGTCTTGAGAACCTTCTTATCTTTCTTGGACATCAGGCACCTTCCATCTGACCAAAGACAACCATAGCCAGAAACACAGTGAAAGGCAATTAAAACAAAGCAGAGAGAATATGAAGCCTGGTGCTGGCAGGGGCTGCCGAGAGGTCACCCAGTTTATTCCTCTGCCTTCTGGCAAGACAAGGCCCAAACAACTCTCACCAAAGGTTGCCAGTCTCTTTGCCTGGGCAGAGGCCAGTGCTGAAGCGGGAGCTACAAGCTCCCGGACTGCAGGGGCAGCTGGAGGGATGCTGCAACATCCCCCGATAGGAAGTGCAGGCTGGGGAGGAAAATCAGGGAAAGCACCTGGCTGGTTTAGTCTTGCCGCTTGGGTACGGAAGTTGGTAGTTCTGTGTGTCAGAGTTCAGGATATATCACGTCTTGGGAATTTGCTGGAAGTATTTTAGCTTTAGCGATTGGTATTTGCGGTATCAGAAATGTCTCTGTCTGCGTGGATATTGTTAAGACTTTTAATGTTTCTTGGAATTTCTGTTTTAGTTCATCATTTGCAGTTTTCTGATGAGCCCACCACAGCTACGACTTTTCCAATATAATTATCCCCACTGGAGTGTCATCTTGGGTTACTGCATAGGAACTTCATCTTTCATCTGCATCCCCACATACATTGCTTATCGGCTGATCATCACGCCAGGGACATTTAAGGAGGTACGTGCTAGTTAGTGTGTATATGTGTGTTCAGACTACCAACTGTTGGGAGAAAAGGATTCTCTTGTGCTCTATTCAAAAGAGAGAAGTCTACTACATGAGTTTCATCAGGAGGCATGCAACCTTACATATGTCTGTACCTGCATCATGGTGTAGACCACTAATGGCTGTCATCTTAAGGGATCTCCCAGAGCCTCAGATGCAATGGCAAAAGATCATCTCACTCGTGTAAATTTTGCTGTAACATCTCAAATTAACTTATCTCCCTTCTCGGGCTATCATAGATGATGGTTCCTTCTGCCTCTCCCCAAATATCACCCCTCACCAAAGAGTGAGATGATCATTTGAGTGCACTGGAACATTCAGCTTGGGCTGTGTATAGCTTTTCTTTTTTTTTTTTTTGAGACCGAGTTTCACTCTTGTTACCCAGGCTGGAGGGCAATGGCGCAATCTCTGCTCACCGCAACCTCCACCTCCTGAGTTCAGGCAATTCTCCTGCCTCAGCCTCCTGAGTAGCTGGGATTATAGGCACATGCCACCATGCCCAGCTAATTTTTTTGTATTTTTAGTAGAGATGGGGTTTCACCATGTTGACCAGGATGGTCTTGATCTCTTGACCTCATGATCCACCCGCCTCGGCCTCCCAAAGTGCTGGGATTACAGGCTTGAGCCACCGCACCCAGCCCCGGGCTGTGTATAGCTTTTCAAACTGATCAGACAACTATCCTGCCTCCTGCTTGCCACTGGACATGATAATCAGATCTGTGATGTCTAGAGCAATACACGAATTTTAAGTGGTGATTATGGTGGGAAACGTCCATGGTCACTTTCTTTTCTTTCTTTCTTTTCTGTCTTTGTTTCTTTCTTTTTCTTTTTTCTCTTTCTCTCTTTCTTCTTTTTTTCTTTCTTTCTTTCTTTTTTTTTTGACAGAGTTTTGCTCTTGTTGCCCAGGCTGGAATGCAGTGGTGCAATCTCGGCTCACCACAAGCTCCACCTCCTGGATTCAAGCAATTCTCCTGCCTCAGCCTCCTGAGTAGCTGGGACTACAGGTGTGCGCCACCATGCCCAGATGATTTTTTTGTGTTTTTAGTAGAGATGGGGGTTTCTCCATGTTGGTCAGGCTGGTCTCAAACTCCTGACCTCAGGTAATTCACTTGCCTCAGCCTCCCAAAGTGCTGGATTACCACTGCGTGAGCCACTGCATCCAGCCCATGGTTGCTTTTCTAACAGCAGTGTGACAAGTACTATTTTGAAAAATGATCACAAAATAGGGATTTTGCAACTATATCATAGTGTCAGCTCAAAATTGTTAGCTGTCCAACAATAGCATAGTTTTAGCTCAAGCCATTGGAGTAAAAATGTTTTGCCAGGATAGCAAGATTCATTTAAATAATGAGTGCACTGTGGAAATGTTGATAACAGTACCTTACAAGATGTATGAGCGCCACACTTTTCAAAGCATCTGCATGTTGATTATCCTATTCCGTTGTCAAAATACCTTGGGAGGTAAATGGGCAGGCATTATTAGCCGACAAGAATACTGAGGTGGGGAATAATCCTGCTCGAAATTTCCTGATTTCAGTCAGGGTGTGGTGGCTCACGCCTGTAATCCCAGCATTTTGGGAGGCTGAGGTGGGTAGATCACTTGAGGTCAGGAGTTCAAGACCAGCCTGGTCAACATGGTGAAACCCTGTCTCTACTAAAATTACAAAAATTAGCCAGGTGTGGTGGCCCACACCTGTAATCTCAGCTACTTGGGAGGCTGAGGCAGGAGAATCACTTGAACCCAGGAGGCAGAAGTTGCAGTGAGCCGAGATTGTGACTGGACTCCAGGTTGGGCAACAGAGACTGTGTCTCAGAAAAACAAAAAAAACCACAAAGTTTCCTGTTTCAGTGAGCTGCCCACGGACACACAGCACAGAGTGGCTCGGAATTCAGGTCTTCTCACTCCAGCGCTCTTTTAACTTTGAGATGCAGCTTCCCCCTTGTCCTCAGGGAGAGATGAGTAGCCAGTTTTTCATCCTGTGCTGACAGCTTGCAGTTCAGCCACCAGGATTCCCAGCAGACACTTCAAATACCAGACTTTAAAACCCTTCAGTTGCTACTTTTTTGATTGTGCTTCTAGCTGCAGTAAGAAGGGTGCAAGGGCAGAAGAGCCTACAGAAGTAGCCACTTACAGGTCCACAGTTGGGTGCATTTGCAGGGGCCGAGCTCAAAGGTGAGAGGTGATATTTGGGGAGAGGCAGAAGGAACCATCATCTATCATAGCCTGAGAACCAAGGTGGGCTAATTTGAGATCTTACAGCAAACTTTATACCTGGGACCATCACAGTAGTCACCCTAAAACATTTCATAAGAAACGGGAAGCAAGAGAAAATAGGCAATCAAGCATCGGCTCTTCCTTCTTTTCAGACGAGGCCTCGCTCTGTACCCCAGGCTGGAGTGCAGCGGTATAATCATGGCTCACTGCAGCCTCAAACTCCTGGACTCAGGTGGTCCTTTCACCTCAGCCTCCCAGTAGCTGGGACTATAGGCACCTGGCTAATTTTTACAATTTTTAATAGTGACAAGGTCTCACTATGCTGCCCAGGCCGGTCTCAAACTCCTGAGCTCAATCCTCCTGCCTCTGCCTCCCAAACTGCTGGGATTGCAGGCATGAGCCACCGCCCCCAGCCACACATCATTCTGAGAACAACTGGGTTCGTTTCTTTTTCCAAACAGGAAAACTGAATTCTGGGTGAACAGAACACTGAACTCTGTAGTTACTAACTTCCTACAACCAAACCAGCCCTCCCGTGACTGCACTCCTCCCAAAGAGCCGTGAGCTCTGCGCTGCTTCCCCCACGTTCTCATACCCAGTCATTGAACGCTTTCCTTCTGGTCGTCCTTCACGGCAGTTGTGAGGACCCATGAGCTCTGTTGCTTCAAATCCAGAGGCCAAGGTCAGAGTTGGGAACTGTGTTAGGTTAATAAATGTCAGTATTCTTCAGTCACAGGCTGCACCTCAGATCCTGGCCATCTTTCTCACAAATTTCCCCAGTTGGTCACAAGGGAATGCCACCCAAAAGTCGCTAACAGCTCAGATTCGTTAGCAGTAGAGGTAAGACTAATTGTAGGTAGGGCCGTCTTCACCAGGGGCCACCAGATGGGGAGTACTGGGTTACCCAGAAGCAGTGTAGACCATGGAAACGGCCCTAGTCAGCTATGACAGACACTCACCTTATCTGGGCCTCAGTTTCCTCATCTTTAAAATGTGCTCGTCCGATATAGTAACACTTCCCAAAGGGTCTTCCAGGGGCGGTCATAGGTGTTAGTGCTGGAGAAAAAGTTTATGAAGTCAGGTAATTTGTGGAGAATGCTGAACTAAGGCAAGTTAAACACGTTTCTTGGCCGGCAAAGTGGCTCACACCTGTAATCAATCCCAGGTGTGATTTGGGAGGTCAAGGTGGGCAGATCACCTTAGGTCAGGAGTTGAAGACCAGCCTGGCCAACATGGTGAAATCCCATCTCTACTAAAAATACAAAAATTAGCTGGGTGTGATGGCAGGTGCTTGTAATCCCAGCTACTTGGGAGGCTGAGGCAGGAGAATCGCTTGAACCCAGGAGGTGGAGGTTGCAGTGAGCCGAGATCACACCACTGCACTCCAGGCTGGCAACAGAGCAAGACTCTCAAATAAATAAATAAATAAACAAACAAACAGGTTTGTTTACCTCAGGACTTCTCAAAAAAACTTTAATATGCTCGTGTGCATGTTTAATCTCAGAAGAATAAAGCATGCTGTGCTTTTTGCCTAAGGTCTAGAATTCTTTATGATTCTTTGTGAATACCAGACTTGATAGTCTGTAACTTTCTGTCTATGAGGGAGGGAAGCCTCATATGAAATCCTTTTGTGCCCTGGCCATATGCAAGGTTGGAGTTTGTGGAGTGAGCAGCCGCTTACGGCTGTAATTTGAAGGATATCACATACACTCAACAGCCTGGAAGTCTCGCGGTTGGAATCATCCACGGGCTTAGGTCATTTTTGCAGAAACTGCTAATAACCCACCCAAAGATACTGGTCCCTAATGAGTACACATTTATAAAGTTATCAAGAGCAACCCGTTTCTTAGATTAGCTTGTTATCATCTTGCAGAAGGCCAGGGCCTGGCAATTTTTGAAAGCCACAGTAGCCTGGCAACTAGAATGCTGGCAAAGCACAGATAACAAACGTGGGCTTGGCATCCTGGGTGGTCAGTCACCAACAGGGCAGCAGACCATGTGAGTAGGTTAGGGCACAAAAGCCGAGTCTTTGACTTGATGACATCGTTCATCGCTGGCCTTGCCCCACCCTCAGTGATCTCTTCTCTCTCATCCGCCATAGCTCCACTTAAGACAAGTTGTAGTAGTTGAGCATGGTACCGAGCACCGGCAGCTACTTGGGAGGCTGAGGCAGGAGGATCCCTTGAGCCCAGGGGTTTAAGACTGCAGTGAGCCAAGATTGTGCCACTGCACTCCAGCCTAGGCAACAGAGAAAGACCCTGACTCTTTCTTTCTTTTTTCTTTTTCTTTTTTTGAGATGGAGTTTTGCTTTTGTTGCCCAGGCTGGAGTGCAATGGTGTAATCTCAGCTCACTGCAACCTCTGCCTCCTGGGTTCAAGTGATTTCCCTGCCTCAGCCTCTAGAGTAGCTGGGATTACAGGCATGTGCCACCACACCCAGTTAATTTTGTATTTTTAGTAGAGATGGAATTTCTCCATGTTGGTCAGGCTGGTCTCGAACTCCCAACCACAGGTGATCCGCCCACCTAGGCCTCCCAGAGTACTGGGATTACAGGCG